CTTCAGACAGCCAAGAATATTTGGGGTCTGTAAATTAGTAACTGTCTTCCTTCTTCCTCTGCATTTCAAATATCCAGCGCATTGCCCAGGACAGTTTAAATTCCAGAGTGACAGCACATCATAGATGACATCATAAGAGGTCACCCCGAGGTTAATTCCTTTCTCTGAATAAAAGCCTTCCAGTTCCATCCCCTTCCCACTTGGATACAGGTCCCTAAATCTCCTCAAGAGCTTTCCAAGTCCCCTGAGGAAGAGCAAATTTCCCAAGGCAAAGCAAAGCTCAGGCTTCTACCTCAATTCACAAGGCAGCTCTGATTGCAAACACAATTCTCTTTCAGCTGCTCCAAAAAGCATCCTGGAGAGAAAAGGAAATGGGAAACTGGCACAGGGTGCCCAGAGCAGCTGGGGCTGCCCCTGGATCCCTGGCAGGGTCCAAAGCCAGCTTGGACAGGGCTTGGAGCAGCCTGGGATGGTGGAAGGCGTCCCTGCCCATGGCAGGGTGGATCTGGATGATTTTAAGCTCCCTTCCAAACCAAACCACTCTAATATTCTGTAATATTTCAACAGTTCCTGGAGGCTGAAAATCATTCTTCCTAGAAAAGTTTGAAACCGAAAGGTTGGTTGCAACATTATGGACATACTAATTTAATTCCATTTAAATAAGATGGAATTTTGTTTGTTTAATTGGAGTTTTTCAACATCTCTCAAAGATGTTAATTTTCCCATTAGCTACTCATTTATTCATTAGCATTAAGCAAGAGGTGAGGAATAAAAATAGGTCGAGAAAAAAAAAAATCAGGAAACCAAACCAGAAGTCTCTTATTTCTTTAAAAGCATTAAAATGTAGCTAATTAATTTCTGTTAATAAACATTTCCTGGGGTGAGAAATGGCAGTGCAATTAAAATCTAATGCCCAAGCTCTATTTTGAGGCCTCCTTTTTGTCTTTGAGGTAAACCAAATAAAGCAGGTACATCCACGCACTCCCTCCTTTAAAAGAACGCTGTTCTAACAGAGCTCCATATGAAGTGTGACTCAATATCTGCATCACTGATGGTGCTGATAGGGAGTGATTCTAAAATATGAATTGTGAACCAGAGCCCGTGCTGGAATATGTCATTTAACATCCTGCATTTGCCAGAATAACACAGAGGGACCAAGTCACTGAGCTTGCTCATCCCCTAATTGGTCCCCAGGAAGGAAGTTCTCACCTGGCTCCAAAGGAGCTCAGGGAAGGAGAGAGCTCTGCCATCCACCTACACACACATCCACCCACAAACCTCCCTGACTCAAAGCTTCCCATGGCTTTCTGCTCTTCCCAGCTTGATTTGATTTCCTCAGCTGCCCTAAGAGTCCTTAAAAACCCATCCAGCAGGCAGAAGTGCCAGGAGCACCAGCCATGTGCTTATGGACCTGATGTTTCTTTAATTCCATGAAGCAAAGCAGCAGTGACAGAGACATGAATAATTCACCAGGAGGGCTCTGGGGAGCTGTCCTGGCACTCTCAGCTCGAGGTGGAGCAGTGGAGGGTTTCTCTCCCCACATCCCCAGAGTGGTGGCCCATGAGGAACCACCTGGCTGGCCAGGAGCTCCCAGTTAGCCCCAGTGTGCCACACATGGAACCTGCTGGAGAGGAAGGGGCCAGGCAGGAATCCACTGGCTGATGCTGGTTATCTGGGGCTAGGGGGAGCAGGGGCCGAAGTGAATTAATTTTTGGTCAGTGAAGGTGACAGGGGAGGTGTAAAGGTCACCTCTGACACCCCAAAGAGAGACAGACCTGTGGCTTTTGTCTCCATCAAGCAACGCTGCCAAGGGTTTGTGTAGCACTGGCTGAAGAGAGGCCAAAGTTAACCCCCACGAGTGCCTAAGGAGCTTCCTTGTCTTCCTTGGGCTCCATGGTCTCAGAGTCTGTCTCTGTGATTCCATCCCAGGGTTCCATCCCAGGGTTCCATCCCAGGGTTCCATCCTGGGGAATGGGGAGTGACTGAGCAGTGCTCAGTTGCCAGCTGGGGTTAACCCTCGACAGATGCCCAGCAGATTCTTCCCTGCTGATTTGTAGAAAATGAAGCCATTTCCTGGGTCCATCGTGCTCCCTTAGGTACACATGATAAATAAACCCAGAAGTGTTCAGCCAACCCCCTCTGCTGCAGGGAATAGCAACAGGGGAATTAGTTATGTAAATCACTTGGGCCTTCAGAATACAAAATACACACCGAGACTCAAATTACTCACTGAGAGAAAACTTCTGCTTCCTCCTGATGCCTACCAAGGTTTTCCCCTCGACTGTAGATTTTCCCCCAAATCTGACCTCTCATATTCCATCACAGCTTCACTGAACTCTCTCCTTCTGCCTCCCATTATTTCACATCTATCGCTTAGGGAGAATCCTCTTTTCCCAACTGTCATCCCTAATCCTTTCTCTCCGGGCATGAATTTCCTCCCCCACTGTTCACCCAGGCTTGACACTGATGCCAGACCCCTGTCACAGCAGGGAATTACTCAGGAGCAGAGCTTTTCAATCCTGGAGGCACCACAGCTCACTGGAGGGATAACAGCATGCTGTGTCAGGAAACCACCCTGATAAATCCATGGCCTCGTGCATTGAAGGCAGGGGAAAAACCTGAATTCCCCAGTCCCTGGGCAGCTGGGGGTCTTGCAGGGTTCATTTGAGCCCAGGAGAAGGCTGAGAGTGTGGGAAGAAGAGTCAGGATTCCCCTTGATGCCAAGTGGGAGTGAGATTCCCCTTTACCACTGTCAGAGTTCCTGCCTCTCATACATATATCACCAGGATTTCCCAGTTTTTCCCCCCTGTTCTTCCTAGCATTATTATTTCACACATTTTTCTTCACAGTGGCTCCCAGCACCTCCCTGTGGTCCTGCAGCTGCCTTTGCCTGCTGAGCTTTAGGGTGTTAAGCTGTCCCTGAGTGTCCCTTGGATACCCTGCTCAGGCTGCTGATGCCCTCTCAGCAGGGCTGTTGCCTCCTGCCCAAGGAGCAAACTTGCTGAGGTTCTGGTGCTGTGAAGCAGCAGCAAAACCTTCATTTTCTCCCTCATGTACTTAGTCCACCTCTTCCAAGAGGGCAACAACCCCTTGTATTTAAAGAAGGGGTCACCTTTAGGCTTCTCCCATGGAATCACTGAGGTTGGAAAACCCCTCTGAGATCCAGCCATCAACCCAACACCACCACCAGGTTCACCACTGAGCCACGTCCTCAAATGCCACATCTACACCATTTTTGGACACTTCCAGGGATGGTCAGTCCACCACTTCACTGACTTTGGCAAAGTGACAGACTGGATTTCTCTCCTCATCCCCCCAGTGTGAGGAGTCGTGTTCTGGAAACGGGGAGCTCTCAGGGCTGAGGGACAGACCTGGGCTCTGCACCCCGAGCTGCTCCTCTCACCACTCTATCAGCCCTTTAAAGCCTGGCTTTTGAAAACAAAACAAACCAAAACTGAAGTGAAAGAGGCTTTTTCTCCAAGATGCCAGGCTCTGGCAGCGTGCAGGGTGCCAGCTCTGCTCCTGAGCTGCAGTGAGCAGCTGCTGTTCGTGGAGATGCACAGCTCTGGAAGGAAAACTGCCCGGGCATCGAGCTCTCCTACACGTGCAGAAGCACTTACTAAGCCCCAGTAACTGTGCTGCAGGGTATCTTTTGCCTTCTTATTGTGCAGGGATTAAAGCTTGGCTGCCTTGATCAGAAAGCTGTCCTGATTGCTCACAAACTCTCAGCCTCCCCGGTTAAAACTGATTGAAAGGGACAGGAAAAGCAATGAGAAAACATCTCCCGCTCCGTCCTTTAAAACAAACTTAATTTTGACACCTAATTATGTGCAAGTCAGACTCATTCCTGTTTCCTTTGCCAAGATGCTTTTTAGTTTTGATCTCACAGGGTGCTCACCCCCAGAGGGAGGGAGGCTTTGATTGGGAGGAAGGAGAAACTCTTGGGGAGGAGAAAGGCTGAGTGAATAAAGGTACCTGCAGCACGATGCTGCCTCTGCCCCTCACCTGCTCTGTCACCTTGTGGCTCTGGCATCCGGGCTTTGATTTCCCTGCTTTTAGAGGAGGGGAAATAATCTGTTTCCTCCTCCTCCTCACGGTATTTGGAGACAGCGAACTGCAAAGTGCTGAACCCGAGCAGTAAAACCATTCCCATAGCCTAATGAGGGCTCCAGAGAAGTAGCAGAATATTTCCATTTTCCCCATCTCTTTAGTCACAGCTAATGAAGAGCAGAGAAAGCTCCTGCCCTGGCTGAGTGCAAGCAGCAGCACTGCAAGTGATGCACCGAAATGTAGGGAACACGCTGGAGCGCAGGAATTCTGTTCCAGGGCTTGTCTGCAAATTAATGGCTAAATCAATTAAATGAAAGCATGGGATTTCTCTTGAGGAAAGTCTAGTCACAGTCGCAAGGAGAAGGGGAGGGGTTGTGGATGGATGACATAATCACGTTTGCGAATCACCAGCAGTGTGCCTGCTTTAATCCATTAATGGGGTTTTTATCTGTGATCATAAAAAGCAGGTTACATTCAGCCTGGAAGGGAGTGAGGGTTGGAGGAGAGGGGAGGGGAGAGAAAGACAGAGAGGGAGAGAGAGGCAGAAAGCAAGGGAGAAAGAGAGCACAATTCACTCGGTGGATTGCTTGCAAGCTTGGGGCTGCTAATTAGGGATCTCAGGAGAGCAGCTTCTCAGAATAGCGTGCTCTCCTCAAAATGGACCGACGGGAGACAGTGGTTCAGTCCTGCTGATATTTTTTAAGCCCTCCTTGCAGTTTGATGGGCATTCCCAGTGCTTTTGTGCACGTCTCGGGAAGCGTTGACGTGGAAAGGAGCAGCGAGGAGGGGGAGGTTGGAGAAGAAAACTGCAGCTCCTCTAAAAATACGGAGGGCATGCACGGGAGCGAGCAGGCTGGGGAGGAGGGCGAGGTGGGGGCACCTCGCACCATGGTCCCCCGGTGCCGGCGCGGCGCAGTTTCGGAGATGTCCCTCCTGTGACTGGACGCACCATGAGCATCTGGGAGCTGCTCCTGGCTTTCGTGGTGGTGGTGCTGATGCTCGTGGCCCTGCTGGCCAACGTGCTGGTGCTGATGTGCTTCCTGTACAGCGCCGACATCCGCAAGCAGGTCCCGGGATTGTTCATCCTCAACCTCACCTTCTGCAACCTGTTGATGGCCGTCTCAAGCATGCCCCTGACCTTGGCTGGGATCATTTACAAAAGTCAGCCAGGAGGAGATCAAGTCTGCCAAGTTGTGGGCTTCCTGGAGACTTTCCTCACCACCAGCTCCATGCTGAGCATGGCGGCTCTGAGCATTGACAGGTGGATTGCTGTGGTCTTCCCGCTAAGTTATCACTCCAAAATGAGGTACCGAGACGCTGCTCTCATCCTGAGCTACACGTGGTTGCACTCAGCGTCCTTCCCCATAGTGGCAGCTTCTCTCTCCTGGCTGGGTTTCCATCACCTCTACGCCTCCTGCACGCTCTACAGCAAGAGACCAGAGGATAGGACACAGTTTGTGATTTTCACTGGGGTCTTTCACGCCCTCAGCTTCCTCCTCTCCCTCGTGGTCCTGTGTTTCACGTATCTCAAAGTGCTGAAGGTGGCACGGTTCCACTGTAAGCGCATCGACGTGATCACTATGCAGACCCTGGTGCTGCTGGTGGACATCCACCCCAGGTAAGCTTCCTGTGAGTTCAGCTCAGGTGAGGAGGGGGCTCAGTGCTGTGGTAAAGAGAGACCAAGCTGTCTGACAGCAGGGGACGGGGAGGGGGAGAAAATAAACATCCCTCAGCCAGTTTCTATTCTGCGTGTTTCTTTTCACTTGTGTTTAGTTCTCTGATCGCAGAACTCATTTTTTTTGTTGGGCTTAAGGACTTGTTTTGGGAGGGAGAGCAAATGAATGGGCAGTTCTGGCTAAGCATGCACTTCCCTTTGAGACAGTGATCAGATCACTGCCCTTTGTCTCTGAGGGTGGATTCAGTGGTCGATAGCTTTGCATATTTTGGGCACTGTCAACCCAAAACCCGTTGCTGGATCCCTGAGAGGAGAAAGCTGCACATGTCCCTGGGAGTTTGGAAGGGAGGCTGAGCACTGCCTGCAGCTCCTTTTCCCAGCAGCTTCCCCATTGCTGTGCTCTCTGTAACTTTATCATTCCTGAAGGCAGAATCCTTAAGGGAATTACATCTGCAAAATTCATGTGCTCGAATGCCTGTACTTAAACCTTAAAGTGAGAGAAAATTCAGTGGCAATGTTTATGTGACAAGCAAGGGATGTATAAAGCTCATTTCAAATGAGAGATTTTATGTAAGTCCCTTGTGCCTCGAGACAAGAGGAGAAAAGTCCCCAGGGACTGGCAGGATTGTGGGCTGGAAGGCAAGAAGCAAACAGGGAGAGGAATGTATGCAAAAGTCACGCCAGGGATTATGCACAAGCCATAAATCTTGCATGAATAATCGATGTACGGATCTAGAAGGGATGCAGGCTTGGTGTGTGATACAGGGACGAGAGGAGAGCAGAGAGCAGACGGAGAGAGCAGTCCCACACATCCCGTCTGACCATCCCTGCTCCCCTTTGCTCCAGCAGCCTCTCCCTTTGCGGGCAGCCAGGAGCAGAGCTGCAGGGCTCAGAGCACATGTGGCTGTCCTCAAACACGGGTCATGCTTTGGGGATGCCTGAGGCTAAGACAAACAAGTCTGGGCAGCACATTTTAGAAGAACAGAAACATTTGCTCAGAATTCTCCTGCTAAGCTGTTTGAGCTGTCTCTTGACCAAGAATGCAGAGCAGAACTTTGGGCAAGTCTTGTTGCCGTTCTTGAGAAATACAGGTATAAATCATCCCTTATTCACCAAGTCACACTGAGGAACAAACACTCTCTGCCCTACGTGCTGTCTGCTTGATGAACTGTGTCTCGAGTGCCTCAGTTCCTGCAGCAGGAGGAGGTGTGGTGGTTACTCCCAGGGAAGTGCCATAAACCCACCAGCGCTATTTGAAACCCCGTTCGTTTTGCCTAATGCTAAAAGTATGCCTGGACTGCACAGCAAAGTTTAGTAAAAGGGCAAAAATCTCAGTGCTGTTTCTCCTCCCCTGCATTTTTTCTGGCTGAGGTTGATTTGAGGGTGTTTGTGCATTTTGTGATCCTCTCCCTGCGGGATGGATTCAGTGGGGCTGTGGGAATGATGCTTCCTTTCTTCGGGGCAGAGTTGTGCAGGCGCTTTGCTGTGAGCAACCTGCACCGCTGCCTCTACCTCTGGCATCGGGTTATCCTGGTGCCTCTCTCTAAGAAAGGAGACTTTTCGTTTCTTTTCTACCCTACAGAACTGATTTGACCCCTGGAGGGGCTGATTTAGCCTTAAGTGACAGCTCCTGCTGCTGAAAGGGTCTCAGGCCACCTTCCCTGCTGGGAGAGCTGCACGGGGGCTGCAGCTCTGCTGGAAGAGTCAGTGATGCTCAGAAATGTCTGACATAAGGAAGGCATGGTTTGCATTATGTAACAGGCCATTTCTGGGGACTCTGGAGCACCTGGCAGCACAGCCGTGGGTGCTGGCACAGTCCAAAGGAGAGAACAAAGTTTGCAATCCCGCTTGAGACTCCTCTGGCTCTTTGCAGGGTCCAGTTTGAACGCTGGGAAATGCGAACGGACAATTTTCAGTTCCTGTGACTCAGAATCCCCCCGCAGGGGGGGTCCAGTGACAGGCACTGTGACAGATGGCTTTATTACCTGTGACTTAGAAAGACACCAGTGATCTCTCCTGAAGATCAGTCAAGCACAAAGGAAACCTCCAAATACCCTACAAATTCCTGTGAATGTTTAGGGTATGTGGCATTTCAAGTTAGCTGAGGCTTTTCTAGCGGATCCTGCTTTTTCCTTGCTCTTGAGACCAAAATATCTTGGGTATTGTGGGAGATTTGGGCAAAACTTCACTTAAGGGCTTAACCCATGTATTTCCTAATTCAAATTATCTATACTGTCTTTTTGTTGTATCCAGCTCTACACATCTTAAGGTCCAATATCCCATAAACTTTGTTTAAAATACCAAACCTTCAAAGGGATATAGCTCAGATTTCCCAGGATATTAAAATCTTTAAATGAAAGCTTAGTCAATAATCCTGTTCTATTACTGATGTCACTGCTAGAACTCACATGTGTCTTATCTTTGTGCATGAAAGTGTGTGCAAAACCAAAATATTAATCTATGTACATTGTCTGTGTGAAGGAGTGAGATAAAATACCTTCTTCTCTGATGTGGTATTTATTGGATATATCTGGAAAGTCTGAACAAAAGAAATGGGTTAAAGTCTACCAGGACAGTCATGGGCGAGCTCAAGGAGTGAGAGACAGCTTTGCATGTGCCAGAAAGGAAAAGATGTAACTGGGGAAACAGAGACCAAAATTACACCACCCTCTCCTCCCTAACAGCGCCTTAATTGAACCTGCTTTGGACATTCACTTTCCTGTATTGCCATGGGCTTGGGATACCATGAATTTAAGACCACAGGTCTTAAACAAAGCTCATGAAGCTCTCAGATCATTTTTCTGCACATAAAAATACTCCAAGTTCCCCAGCTCCTGCAGAATTGAAAGCACATAGGTTGCCTTGAAAAAGTGGATTTTTTTTCCCCCCTTAGCTGTCATTTCTAGCTGCAAATAACTCACCTCTAGAACATGTAACACCTTAAGAGAAAGACAATTTGTTAGAAGAACAAACTTTTCCTCTGGTATTTATTTTATCACATCCTGATAGCTGCTCTGGGGCCTGGTGATGCAAAACCGGATTTAGAACAGATCACAAGAAATACTTTTTCTTTAACACAACCCAAGGAACTCATTGCCACAGAGAGCACAGAAACAACTGAGATCCTCAGCACACAACATGTGTTTGGATGTTGATAAAACATTTACAGATGAAGTAAATAATGTAAGGGTATGGCCATGAGCCTCAGAGCTGTGAGAGTGTGTGAGCCTGAGAGTGAGTCATCAATTAAAAATTTACAACAAAAATGGAAAGGCCGATGTCAAACAGTCGAGTTTTAAAAAAATAATAAAATAATAATAATTTTTTTTTAAAAAAGTATATGTAAGTACAGGATTTGGGCCAGCCCCATTCAGTTTGCCTGAGAAGTGACTGTCACTGGGAGGTCTGTGCAAAGAGTCAGGGCATGGCAGCTCTGCCATGTGCACAGAGAGGGGTTCAGGATGGCAGTCTGCCTTTGCTGTGCCCTTTCCAAAGGGATTTACTGAGGTACAGCCAGTCCTGGCACCGTGGGAAATACCAGTGCTGCCCAATCCACTGCCTGGAGAAGACAGGAACTCATCAACTTCCCTCAGAAATCATAGGGAGCACAAGAGTCACTCAACCAGACAGAGGAAGAGGATGAGCTTTCACATTAATCACTGTTTTCACAAGTGAATGTGCTGATTTCAGGGATTTTTTTGCACTAAAAGCAAGGTCTCAGCCCTTTCCTCCTTGCTGGCACACCGAGGGGATTCAGAGCTCTCTGGGGGCCTGCTGAGACCACCAGCAGAAAACTCAAAGGAAAAGCTCTTGTCCTAAAATACCATAGGCAGGAAAAAACCCCAAGGTGTGGCTAATTTTCACGTGTTTAGTTAGAAAGAGGGCTGGTTTGAGGTGAGGAATGAGGATACCCCAGGACTGTGGATTTATGAAACAATTCCAGCTTTGTGGAGCATTCAGCACAGCAGCCCTGCAGATCTGATGGGATGTTTATGGCCACACAGCTCACAGCTATGGGACACAGTGACAGCTCCTGCGTTGGGCTGAAGGTTCAGAGTGTTCCTTTTCCCGTTATGATGTTGTTTTGTTGGTTTTCTTGCTGGGAAGTTTCTCCTCTCCAAGGCAGTGGTGTTGGAATTGCTGTTTCTAGGAAAGCAGCGTGCTGCCTATCCCACTCTGGATATTTTCCAAATCTCTGAGTGTCATCTTGCCCGCAAACACAGCTTACAGCGGTTCAAAAAGGAGCTGCAAACTGATTTCAAGGGTGAATTCCACCCATTTTTCTACAGATCAGTTGATATAATGGGGGTGTGTGCACATAAATACACAACCAGGTACCTGTCAGTAACTTTGTGGAGGGTGAGATGAACAGACAATTCATTCAGAGCTGGTATTGTCCCATTTAAGTGCAGCTCACCTGTTACTGGTTTGCACAATTCAAACAGCTCCTTCTCCATCATTCCATGGTGAAGCCATTGCAGATTGTTACCTGATGCTACGATTGATGTTGTTCTCTGTGTTGGATGTCACACAGCGTGCGGGAGCGTTGTCTGGAGGAGCAGAGGAGGCGGAGGCAGCGGGCAACGAAGAAAATCAGTACCTTTATTGGTACTTTCATACTTTGCTTTGCACCTTATGTAATCACAAGGTAAGTGTGAACCTACATGATGGAAAAGGCTGCTGAGATGCACTCCTGGCTCAGGGAAGTGGGGAACTCTGAGCCAGAACAGCATTCCGGTCTCCTGTGAAAATTTGTAACAGAGGTTGTGTGTTTCCTGAGCTAATAAATGATGTAAAATGTCACAGGGCTCCTCCACTCAGTCCTGATGCAGTCTGAGGTCAGACTCTGCTCACTCAGCCCAGACAAAGTGCTGCTTGCATGGGAGGGATTTAGGAAATCAGCCCATGAGGTTTTGCAGACTTTTTTTTGTTGTCACCTACTGCTCTTATTGACTTCCCTGTCCAGGGGTTGATCTCCAGGGAAAGTCTTGCCAGAATAGCTCAGACTGTAAAAATTTGGTCAACAAGATTCAGCCGAGGTGAGAACATGGTCCACAGACTTAAACAACAGTTTTGTCTGGTTGGGTAGGGTTTATTAGTCATAAATATCAAATATCAAAGCTGTGCTGGCTCAAAACTGAAAAATCTTCTCATGATTTATGGTAGATGTCTATCCACCAGCTTATCTTTGGAAATGGCTCCTGTGGGAAACACGAAATTACTCCTATGAGATAAAAAGTGTTAGAAAGTGAGTACATCCAGAAAAAAAAAAAAGTTATCTAGCTGTTGAAGGAAATTTACAGCTTGCATTCCTTATTATAAGATTTTGGGGAAACTGAGATGCTGCTATGAACAGCACAGAAAGAAAGAAAACTAAAAAATAAGGTATTTCTTATTCCAATATTATCAAGTAGAAATTAGTGGGGCTGACCTCAGTCAAACTCAGATCCACCTTGAAAAAAAATCATTGAAAAGTCTGGATTAAGAGTCAATATAATTGAACATTTGGCCAACCTTGAGCTTTTCCTATCCAGTGTAATACTCTGAATTTTCAGAATTAGAAAATCAAAGTAATTTCCTAGAATTACCTTCACTTCCACTTAGTGGCCACAAGACTCCACTGCAAGTCACACACTTACACAGTATGAAAGGACTTGTAATTAAGGACATTCAGCCTTAATTCTCAAGTCATAAGATATTAAGGCATTTGTATTTTTGCAAATGGTTAATTTTCATTTCCTGTTGGGTCTCTGAACTTAAAGAAAATCCTCCCAGTCACAGGATAGTTGGTGTTTCATCCTGAGTAACACTGAATGCTCCAACCAGAGCTGTCAGGAGTATTTTTGTGCTCTTCCAAAGACATCTCAGCACTCAGGCACCACCTCCCCACCTCCTCTTCACTCCGTTTTTGTCCCAGTAGCTTTAAGACACAGAGGAGGGAGTAGAAAAATCCTGAGCCTCCTCCCTTTATTCTGTACAAGGATCACTTTAATGTTCTCCTGCTGATCTCCAGAGGGTGATGGTGAGGAGAGGGAAGATGCAGGGTCCTGGATGCAGGAGGATGTTTTGGGGCAGGTCAGACATGTCAGGAGGGGTGAAATTTCCCACATTCCTGGCCTTTTAAATTCTGACAAATTTAAAATCCCTGCACAACAAGCTAAGGGGAATTCCCTCTTGAGCTCCCTGAGAGACCTTGCTGGACATTTTCAGGGCCCAATGTTCCAGGACACTCATCCTGACCTTCCCTGGGCCTCACACACAGAGCTGGGTGTCTGGGCATTGGGAGAATTTGATTTTAATTGTGTGAGCAAGTAGTATTTCTGGAGCACATCCAGTGCTTTGCATTCTCGAGAGAGACACAATCAATCACAGCTCAAGCAGTGGACAGCAGTCAGGAGAGGGAGTGCCTTGCTCAGTCTCCCCTAATCAGCAGTATATTTCAATTAAACATGCTTTTAAGTACTCTCTGGACTGGGGGCTGACAGCAGCAAATCACAAGGTTTTACTATAACATCTTCCTGTTCCCACACTAAAAATATTCCATGGACGAGTGAAGGGGTTGTGCTCATCACCCCAGACACATGAATGCTTCTCTGGGTAAAGCAGAGTTTTTTAGATCACACTGAGGTAAAAATCAGATCAGACACTTCATTTGTCAAGGGAACACCCTTCTAATTAGTTCAGTGGATGTCCTTAAGTGGTGTATCAGAATCTGATTGTCTTTGATCCAGTGTTTCCACTTTACCAGCATGACAGGTGTAATCCCCCACATTAAAGATTTCTTTCTTTGTAAAATAATCTACTGGTACACATCTCTTCCTTTGCTATATTTATCATTATGCAATTAAACATACTTGTTCCAAACCTCTTTTCTCCAAGGAACTTTTTCACAAGAAAAATGAAGATAAATCATACAAGTTTCTAATATTCATTTCCAACTCCAGGCATTTCATACTGAAATACAGAACTTTGCTCATGTAAGTCAATAAGTGCTGTCAATGTGTGAGGAAATTGGCCTTAAATTAAAAATCCTGAAGTAATAGCAGGCAGAAGTTCACAGTCCCAAGCCCTCAGGTTACAGAGGAGGATGGTGGAACAGGCAGAAGATGATTAAAATTCTGTTGTATCATCTCTGGGGGATAGGGGGGTAAGCAAACCCTGGTTTTAAACTGTTGTTTGCCCTCTGCATATGCAGATCTTGCTTGGGAACACAGGAAGCTCAGAATTCTTCTGCAATTTGTGTTCTTCAGCATCCCAGCTGGGTGGGCACAGGTGCAGTAAAATATTTTAGTGTGGTGATGAACTGCACACGTAAATAAAGGATTTCCAGTGTGCATTTTGTGTGTAGAGACCAAGGTCACACTCTTCTACATGGCATTCTTGTTTATTTACTGAAGGGGAAATAAAATAATTGGATAGCCATGTCAAATGACACACTCTACAGAGTTAAAAGTTTCTAAAATATGAAGAAAATATCACAGAAAAAGAGCTTACAGCTTTGAAATAAAAAGGGTTTGAAGATCAGACAGAAGAGAGGCTTATGAAAGCAAGCCAGGGAATTATGTAGTTGATACTGTAAAATTTAATTTACAGGTAGCACTGAAATATTAATGTTCCTTCACTGAAAATGTCTTCTTTTAGGCTGAAATGTTTCATGGAAATGGAAGCTGTGCATATAATTTCCCTCAAAAATGAGAAACAAAACCTTTCAAAGGCAATAAATTCTGTGATATGCCTTGGAAGGCTGACATTTAATTGTTTGTACATGAAATGAAAATGCATAGCTCAGGGTTTGGCTACGTTTCTGTGTTTGCTGCTTGATAACAGCAAATGTAATTTACTCTAAAAAATAATACATGAGAATTGAAAAATGTGTAAATGTCAAGGAAGCTTACAGAAAGCAAGGAAAATATTTAAGATTTTGTTAATAAAAGTGTAGGCTTTTCATTTGATCAGTCAATGAAGGTAGAATTAGCAAGTCTAGGCTTGCAACCCTGAAGTGTCTGTTTGATGTGCTTTAAATTGAGATTGTTAATGGCTCATAGAACTGACTGACAGAGCCTCAGACACAAATTTGTCATATTTTGGTTATTCAAGGCATCCACTGAATTTAATTAAACATAATCAAATTCACATCTGTAAAGCACTCAGTAAAAATAAATCATCCGAGTGAAATTCAGTGTGATGAAATTCAAAACATGAAGAAGGCATCGAATAAAGGAAGTGGAAAACAACAAGGATGGCTCATGGTAGATTACAAAGCAAATATGTCCCAGTAGATGATTAATTTCCAGACTGTCAGTTCTCATTTTAGAACACCTTAACTGGATGCCATGAGTTGTATTTTATTAAAGAAGTGAGAATGCACCAGATGAGACCACCTGGAAACTCAAGCAGATGAAAAATATGTCTCAGTTCTGATCTTTGTAGGAAAGATAATGAGCATGAATTACAAGGAGAGGTTGAAAGAACATTTGTGTAGTTGAGATGAGAGAGAAATGGGACAGATGAGGGATCTTTGGGACCTCAGATCTGCTGAGCCAAGCAGCACCAGTGGAGTGGCACAAACAATTCCCAAGTATTTTCATGTGACATTCCCTGGTCACTTGAAATGTCCCTCACGTTGAATGGACTGTGACATCTGTCAGCATTATTTTTAATAATATCTTGTAGTGAAAGGTTATGGAATGGGAATAAAATAACCGAGGAGAAAAAAATCCTCCTCTCTGAACTGCTTGAAGTACCAAAATTATTGTCATTGCTGCTGCAGGAACCACCCTTCAGAATGCTCCTTGGAAGTGGTGCTTTGTGTGGAGAAACATGAGCAACTGAAATATTTCCCAGGCAGATTTAAGAACATCTGCTGCTGCAGACAGGTCCAGCAAAGATCTGATCTGCCGTGTGGGGCTCTGTGGCAGCACACGTGGCTGTTTGACCTCTATAAAAATCAATAGCTTCTGACAGCTATGGAGGCATATTGAACAGAGCTGCCCTTTGATGTTGCTCAAAGACATGGGGAGTTATCAATATTTCCCTGTCAAAAATGCTCTCTCTCAGTACATAGTGAACTATCTGGGCTAGTGTAGGTATGAGGAGTCTATGAAGCTCTTCCCTGTCCCCCTCCCCTAGTGATAAAAGTTTTGTCTTGCCAAATTTGTTGCAAATGTGAATCCTTGCCCTTTGAACTGGCCAGTTTTTTAATTCAAGGTATGATACACCATCTCTGAGTGATGGATTCTCCTTGTGAGCCTCTACAACTCAAACTGTTTAAAGGCATCAAACTGCCCCTGGGAGCTGGGCTGGCCAAGAGAGCTGGGTAACCCTGGTGGGGTGACTCAGATGCTCTAGAGGGGACTTAAAGCCACGAGTTCAGATGGATGCTGGGGTTTTAGGTTGCTCATGGTAGAGGAATTTGAATCCCATGAGACCAAGCAATGGCATTTTGGCAAACAGGCCTCAAGCTTACATCTGCTGTCCTTAAAATTTGTAACAGGAGGACAGCATACACATTTTCATGAGCAGGGCTTTCTTTAGTTTTGTTGCAATTGCCCAGCAATAATTTGAGGGTTTGGGGTGGGTTAATGTAATTTTTAATGTTCACTCTTTCACCCTCCCTCTTTCCCCAGACTTGTTGAATTGTCCTCTGTGGTCCACATCAACTCCCACTGGGGGATCATTTCCAAGTGCTTAGCTTACAGCAAAGCTGTTTCAGACCCTTTTGTGTACTCTTTGCTGCGGCACCAGTACAAGAAGACGTGGAAGGACATCATCAACAAGATCCTCAAGAGAAGCTCCATCAACTCCTCGGCGCTGGCGGGCGAGTCGCACAGCCGGAACCTTCCGCAGCTGAACGAATGAGGAGCCTGGTATGGGACGTCTAAAGTGATATTTGTGAAACAGCAGGAACTGGCCTGTCCCCAGTAGCTCTCCTCAGCTGTCCAGGTTTTGGGAGGCAGCTGTGGGCAGGGTGAAGCCCAGACCATGTCCCTCCAGTAGCCCATGAAACATCCAGGCTGCTCTGGACCGCCTCCCTCTGACTGGAAGAGCGCTATTGATCCGTGGTCCTGCAGGCTCCACAAATACAAATCTCCCATTGATTTCCATCAGCAGCTGCATCTATAGATAATAAACTAATCCTCAGCAGAGGGATTCATGAAAGTAATGGGAGCAAACTGCTGCTGGCGTAAGATTATTCTAAAAAGCTGCACAGGGATATTTGTGCTGTGTTTGTCATTGGCTGCAGGTGAAGCTCCCTCTGATGGAGCTGCCAACGTGGCTTTACAAAAACCACCCCACCCCAGTGGCTTGGGAAGGTTGTGTGTAGAAAATATCCTAATGGGAAAAGCTTAAAAAATCTAAATATTCATCCAGGGCCCAACGCAGTTCAGCCTTTTCTGGTATATATTGTAGGAAGAATCCCATGGAATTGAAGGAAGGGAAAAACCACTTTTGGAGTGTGCTGGATTCAGCCATGTCTTCTCTAAATGTTTTAAGTTATTTACATAGAATCCCACTGACATCCTCCCCATTACATTTCAGGAAAACACAAATGGTAGACAGGGTGGAAAGGTCAGGGTGCCTCCTGCCTACCTTCCATATATCTGAGCTCTGAAGAGCTGGATTTTGCCCAAAGCTGCAGATCTGGGCCCTGTGCCCAGGAGGGAAAACAGCAAATCTCTTTTTCTGAGGAGTTATTAATCATGGTGTTTTTTCCTCCTTGAAGGAAAGATGAGCCTAAATCTGAGTTCCCAGTATAATTTCCAAAGCAAGTGGAGCACAAATCATGGGCTCCCCTCTCCACCATGACAGTGGAGCCAATAATCTGAATCCACATCTGAATGTGCAGATTTCTGGAGGTTTCAGCACAAATCTTTATAGCTCTGGGTTGCAGTTCTGCATAAGAACACTATTAACATTTACCATGCACTCACATGCCTGCCCAGATTTTAAAATAGGCTTGGGTTAATTAGGCTTCATGAATGCAATGGCAGCTTCAATAACAGCTGACACAACTGGCTGTACTGCCATCCATCCCTGATCATATTCCAACTGTCCAGGCCATTCTGAGGAAATAAGGCCTCAAGTTGTAAAAAATGTGGAATTACTTTTTGGTTGCCACCTTCTCTCATGCAAGAAAAGGGCTTGGTATGTTGCAAAAAATGTCCACTGTTGAATTTTCTGGCCTCTGATTCAAAGCCCAGACTGGGGGCTCAGCAAGGGGCTTCACCCCAAAGTCAGTGAATGTGGGGTAACACCTCAGTTATTATCTGAAGATTACCAGCTACCATCTGAAGCTTAATTCTTCATTTCAGTTATAAAAAAATACCATAATTACAATAAAATCCACGAATAATCATAGCCACAAAATTTAAGAAACCCATTTTGAAACCCTGCATTCAAATGAGCTCTTTGCCAGATTAAATAGTCTACCTCATCTTAATCATTTTGCTTCTTAGGCTTAACATAATTTTCTCAGGTGCAATAGATAAAAAGACCCAGTTCAATATTTGTTTCCTAAGAAATTCAAGACACATTGATGATTGGATTGTATTAGAATACAGAATGTTAGGAAGCTGAATATTTACTGAGTTTAAAAAGATAAAAAAGCTCCATATTGAGCATGTTTGACTTAAATTGCACCAGGAAAGTCCACAGCTGTTGTAAGCTTACACATGGAGCTGATGCCAAAGTCAATGGGAGGTTTGTATGTCGATAAGGGCAGCTCCAGAAACATTTAAACCTTCAGATTCAAAGAGAATAAACTAATTTCCCAGGAGAGAAAAAAAAACATAATCCATTTAGGATGTCTAGTAAGAGATGGAGAATACAGCACTGGACTTGTCTCATTATGCTTGTGTATCACAGTCAGTCACTGGTTGATTTATATCCCACCATGAGCAATAAATCTCTCCCCTTGTATGTGTTTAAAAATTTGTCTCTCTTTCATGGTGCCTTTCTTCTATAATTAATCTTCTAACAGAGAATAGATATAATTTCCCCTTCCTTGCATCAGCTCCCTGTCATATTTTGACCATCTGAAGCAAGCAGGAGTTGTAAATGCTGGTGCTTGACAAAATGCCTCAGTACACGAAATAAAAATACCACCCCAGCATTTCCTGATGACATTTTATAGGATACTCGAAATACGATACTGTGGCTTGTTAAGTGCTAGATTTTCAGCTGAATCCTTATAGGCAACTGGCAAAATTTTCTAAAATGTGTGTCTCAGTGATGAATGTAGATATAAGTAACTATCTGTCTGCTGAGTATTATATGTACTATACAACACTCTGACTCGAGTGAGTTAAAATAATGCTGGTAAATGTAATGCACAGTATTTATTATCTCTGCTCACGAAGCAGAGCTGTTCTCTTGTCTAACACATGTGTGTGCAAGGGGTGGGGTGGGGGAATTTCCATTTGTTACTTAAATATTTTTGAAGAAGTTTGTGAAGTTTGGCTGCAACCTGTGCCCAAAAATCTGGAGCTGCATGTGCAAAATCTGGGCAGCTGCTTAGGCAATATGCAGTTTTCTGTTTGTTGTATCTGTGACCCATATGCAATATCTACTCCTCACTCGCATGTTCAATTAACATTTCCTTCATATCTTGTGAATTTGGCAGGCAGAGCACTGGCAGATGATTAAGAGAATGTAGACCACAACGTCGTTTTGTGGATTCTGAGCTTTTTCCTTTGTTCATTTTAACGGTTTTTACATCATTTCAGAGCCCTAACTGTGAACTGTGGTCCTGGTTTCTGTTGTGCTCTCCAGTTTGAATGTCAAGATCTGGGTAATTGCAATTGGCAAAAACCATGAGAGAGTGATAAGGGTGTGTTGAACAATTATTAAGTACCAGGCCCTCTCTTGACATAAATCAAAATATTGGTGGTTTCACCTGAGGATTTGGTCCACTAGATGGCTTTAAACTGGGTTTATAGATTTCTTCTCTATGTGTAGGGCCCTGTTTTTATGGTATTTACAAATGGAAGGATGTGAACAGGATTTAGTGAGTTCCTCTGATGTGCAAGTGCTCACTTCCAAGGTCAGGCAACCACATGACTAAATAAGTTCTATGCCTATTCTTACACTTTGGGTACATGACCCTAAAAACCTCTTTTCAGTAATCCTAAATCAGACTTTTTAGAACTTCTCTTGTGTTGGAAAAAAACCCAAAACCCCTAGAGATTAAACATGCTCCAGACAAATCCTTATGGAGCTTGATGACTGCTGCAGCTGTAGCCACACATATCACAGCATCCCAGACCAGCTGAGATTGGAAGGAACCTCAAAAAGCCCCCCAAAAGCCCCCAAAAGCCACATTCCTACCTCTGGCAGTGCTTTCCCCTCTGTTTTGCCAGCACCTCTGGGAAATGATCTTGGTCTGCTTCAGGTCAACAGTAAAATCTTCTGGCAAGGATATTTCTTTTAAAAATAACTTTGAGAAGATATTTTAAACTAAACTTCAAAAAAACCCCAGCTGTATCAGAACATCTTTAAGAGGTTCCAAAAGTGAGGCAGGAGTGGATGTGAATGGGAGGCTGGGAGGAACAAACTGGCTTTGCTGCAATGATTTGGGGTTCTTTGGTTGCAGTGAGCTTTTCCCAGTGGCCTGTTTCCACCCTGAGAGCTCTCCAAGTCTCTCAGACAATCACTCCTCCCAAAGAAAAAGGTGAAAATCCTGTCAAAGCTGTGCCACAGGTTGGGCTGGGGATGCAAGAGCAGCTCAGCTGCCTTAGAAGGATCCTTTAGGGCTTGGGAAGACTCCAGTGGTTTTCAGATAGTTTATATGGAAACTGCTCACTTTGAATCACCAGAGAGTCTAATTCTTAAAGTCCAAGAGGTTTAAGTCATTTGCAGAATGTGGATTTTTCTGGGCCTACATGCCTAAGGTTTCATAGCTCCCTCACCTCTCTTAATCCTAAATGAAGTAGGCTCTGAATATCTTGTCCTCTACATTTTTACGTGAGTATCTCTGGAACAACCCCTTGGAAATGGCTTTTCACTGCTGTTAGATCTGTCTCCTCCCCACACTCAGTGTTCTTCTGATTAAACAAAGCTTAAAAGCAAAGCCAGAGGCTTCACACCTCTGTCAGCTCGTGTTGACTCTAAAAATCACAGATCAGCACAGAAGGCTCAGTTAGACCCTGGTCCCAGAGTCACTGAGTGTTTGCTTTGCTGGATTGTGAGGGCAAAAAAATCCTGAGCACAGGATTTTGTGTCTGCAGAATCAGGGATTATGTCTTTGTAACCTCCCCAGACTGGAATAAGTGACACCAATGACATCACAGCCTTAAATCTATTCCTTTTTAATTTGCTTTTTATGCTTTCAGCATTCAATATAGTGAAAATTTTCAATGGGTGAAGTTTTGGGTTTTTTTTAGGAAAACCATCCTGCTCCAAAAGGCAGCTGGCCCTGTTGGGAGGGTGTAAAAGTTTACATGGAGAAAAAGAGCTGTTGCAGCCTTTGTGAAATGTCAGCTTCTCACCTGTACTGGTGTGTTTGGTGTAAATATGGATTTAGGATTGTCAGTTTTAAAGCAAATACTGCTGATCTAAAGAACTGGAGAAGTTGCTGTAGTTTATCATACATGTCTGTCTTTCTAAGGAGGAGGATTAGCCCTACAGGCTGTAAGTGCCCTTCACAAATGTGTGTGCCAAGAAGCAGAAGCATCAGGGGTGTGACAGCAGGCAATTGTGGAGTAAAATAACTTTTTTTTTTTGTTGAAGAAATGGTATTTCACATGATTTCTATATACCCAAAGGCACAAGTCCATATGGCTGATTATTTACACACAAAGTCATGTGAGGAAAAGGATTTCCAATTGCAATTATTACTGAGTCATGGAATCATAGAGGGG